ATATATATATATATACTGTATATATATATATATATATTGGTTTGTTGTTGATGGTGTAAGAGAACTAGTTCCTCATGCCTTAAACTTGTAAACTGGGATGGAACTTGATTTTTGTTTATATCAATCATTTCAGAAAAAAAACTCAACACCGTGAGAGAGCGAGATGTGAAGGGAAACTCACAGTGAATACTCTGGAGGAATTCCCTTAAAGGCAGGCAGGTCTCGGACGTACTCGTTGTGGAACCATTTGACTTTGAAGTGCAAATTCATGTACTCTGTGCTCTTGCATAGACGATGCTTGTCGTGTTCTGCAAATGAAGGGGAAAAAAAAGAAAAATGAAAGAGTCATGAGTCAACAGCGAGTCATGCACAGAAACATATGAAGAGGAAAAAGAGAAGAGAAAGAGTCATGAGTCAACAGTGAGTCATGCACAGAAACATACTGGGCTCTACTGTCTGGAGACAATCTACAAACATCTCCAGCATGTACTACAATTATTAAACACAGTTTTGTCAATTGAAATCAAGCTGAAATAAAATATAAATATAAATATTAGTTGAAAGACAAACTAAATGAAAATGAGAAATGTAGCCATGGTAATTAGCTGTAATAAGTTTAGGTTAAAGCATTAAAATTACTAACCAAAAATAAACTAAAATATATATATTTTTAAATAAAATACATTACACTTAAACAGTGATGTTTAAATAGTAAGTAAATTAATATAACTAAAATAAAAAGTAAAACTAATTCAAAATATGAATTATATAACTATATAAAATAATATTATAAAAATGTAACTATAATAGTATACCAAGTATATAAAAAAAGGAATAAAACATCTTTCTCGGTATTTTTGTAACTTTCCATTGAAAATAAGAATCTAAAAGATTCTTAAATCAAGACACACTGATTTGAGAAGCAAAATCATATGAGATATAAGTGAATTTATGATGAAAACATGCCTAAATACCCGCTGATGGGCTCAGAAAAATTAACTTAATTCACAAGATTTCATTCTTTATTGACAGATATTTGTTGTTTTAAGCATAAACACACTTCAGATTGTTCGGTTTCTCAGAAAACATGATTTCATATCTTCAAATTTCATCTCAAGTAAATGAATCCTGATATAAAGATGTTTAGATATTTGTAGAAGACAAAATTCAGAGAGAAAAAAAAAAATGTTGTTTTTGCAGCGCATGCATCATTTAATGCCATGACATCATAAATTTAAGCCTTTCTGCACCTATATAAGACATTTTAAGGCATTAATTTGTAAAAATGTGAATTAAGACCTACAGAAACCCTGAAATGATATACTAAAACAGCACATGAAACCATATGAAAGGAAAAATCACAACTGAGATTTCAACTGTTTACACAAGACAATGAGATTAAATAAAGAGCAAAGAGTCTCCAGATGAACAATTGTTTGAATAACATGACGCTCATCCCAGACTTGTCAGAAAAGATGAAAACACAAAAAAGCACAGGGAATAACATGCAGCTAGCGCGAGGAGAGACGTCAACATATATGTGCGGCAAACTTGAGGACAAATCACCTCTGACTGACACGGAGGACTTGTATTGACTTAATCACAGCAGCACAGTGTTACCCAAACACTACACAGCAGGTGGTTGCATATCCATATATGGAATACTTGATTGTGATTGGTCCATCGTAATATTACGCAGTCTAATATATTTGCATAATGACACTAAACTGACACTGTGACCTTTTTCTTCTCATATACACTACCTTTCAAAAGCATATTTGTGCATCTACAGCTGAATGTGTTTTATAATCAATATAGATTTGATGTTAATATTTACTTTTAATAAATGCATTACTAGAAAAAATTGCAGTGCTTCATTTTGCAGGAAAGTAGAACTGTTTGGTTAAGATAATTTTGTGTTTGGATGGCTGTGCTAATTGTTTTGAGAACAAGTGCATTGCATTGGAGAGAAGTGTCAGAAAAACTGTAATTTCACAGAGATAATTTTGTGTTTGGATGGCTGTGCTAATTGTTTTGAGAACAAGTGCATTGCATTGGAGAGAAGTGTCAGAAAAACTGTAATTTCACAATAATGTCCACTGTGTATGCCTTGCATTTCAATTCTTTACAGATGAAAACAATAGTAAATTATACCATAATATTGGATTCTACAAATCTGCAATTGACCAATCCGAACCTTGAAAAGAACATATTCAAACAACATTAGCACTAACGTGACACTTTATCACAGAACTGTGATAACAGTAAGATATGATGAAGGTCTCATGACAGCTACCTTCTGTTACCTACCTATTACCAGCTAGCCTTCTCGAATATGCACCGTACGATTTCAAATATTCAACCCATCAGACAGCGGCTGTCAACATCTGAATGTAAGTGTCAGTTAATAATTAATAAGGCATTAGCTGCTCTCATTCATCACTGCACTGTGAACCTCTGATTTCAAGGCCTTCGGCTGAAGTGATCCGCTCACGTCTCTGACCCAAACCTCCATTCACATGAGCTTTAAACAGCTTCTCATGAGCCCAACACCAACCGCTGGAGTCTGAAAGCAGAGATCATGATTCAGACATGCTGATCTTTAACTGCTGCTTATGACTTGGAAAAATATGCTGCATTAATATCACAGCAGAATTACCATAATTACAGGATTCTACTCAAAACTCATCATATCTTCAGAGATAATTAAGCTTCTGCCATTTTTGTTGTTTTACATGACATTATAATGAGACAAATCACACATGCATTAATGTCAAGATGAAACCAGTCAGCTACCTTTCTCTAAAATATGTTTCTGGTTATACAATGCATGTTTTTAGAGAAAAATAAAATCAACTAAACAATTTCATAAAATCCTCACAGATCCCATGAACAGGATTATTATCATAAGCTGTAACCACAACAGAAACTATTAAAACATTTTTGTGAATTGAAATAATGCTGAAATAAAATATAAACGTAAACAGTAATTTTGCATAAAGAAAAGGAAACCTTTTATGACTTTTTGCATTTTGCAATTTTTATAACCATGCACATTTCAAAATAAATAAATAACTAAAACAAAATAAATAATAATAAAATGCATTCAATGCATTCAAAATGCATTTTATTCAATAAAAAGAAAGAAAGAAAGAGAGAGAGAACTAAACTAGAACTATTAAAAACATTTTTGTTAATTGAAATAAAAAATAAAAATTTTGTATTAAGAAAGCCTTTTATGACTTTGTCAAATGACATTTTTATAACCATTAAGCACATTTTAAAATACAAATACATAATAAATGCATAAATACAAATGTATTTTATTCAATAAAAACAAACAAACTGAACTAAAACTACAACTATTAAAACATTTTTGTTAATTGACGTAAAACTGAAACAAAGCATAAAATAACATTTTGCATTAAGAAAAGGAAGCCTTTTATGACTTTTTGCATTGTGATTTTTATAACAATTATGCACAAAATATGATACAAAATAAATGAATAAACACATTTATAAAATAAATAAAAGAAAATAAATAATAATAAAATGTATTTTATTTAATACAATCAATCAATGAACGAATAAACAAACAAACAGAACTAAAACTAGAACTATTAAAAACAATTGTGTTAATTAAAACAAAGCTGAAATCAATTTTACATTTTAGATGAAAATTTTACATTTACTAAAAATGAGAAATGTTGCTAACTGAAATACGTTTAAGCTGAAGCACACATTACTGGAACTAAATCAAATCTAAAACCGAAATTAAATTAAACCTAAATAACATTAAAAAAGCTAATACAAAAAGCACATAACAAAATTACAAAAAATGTAACCAAACTAAAAAAAAATTTTTATATACAAAATAAAATCTGTCAAAATATTAATAAAAAAAACCTACAATAGTAAACATAATATACAGAAATAACACTGATTCGTGCTGCACATTATTTTCACCTGAATATTCACACTGAAATCTGTCACATTATGGAAGAGAAATGCAATTTGGATTCAATATGAATCCTACATTATTTCCTACTTACTTACTTCATAAGTCCTGGAAGTCATTATTGAATGCTGTCATTAACACGTTCTGCAAACACAGAGCTGAACTCTCAGACTTATGACTGAAGGAGTCTCGACTGGTTTATGCAGCTCTGCATTTCCATAATGCTTCATATGTTTTCCAAACCCCCATAATGAACGACATTAATAACACCTGCTTATGAAGCATGTCTGCATGAATTATTAAAATGAACGACTAACTCTTTTGGCAGCTCATTGTTTCCGCAACCTCGGAGAAGTTTCATTCCTGAGCGCTGAATCTTGGCATATTGTGAGAATGTGCCGCATGCCGATAATTGCTCGTTTATCTTAAAGGAGCCACTCTTTTTCTCGGGGAAGAGCCTGAGGGATATCAAATACAGTCAGTGCAACTCTGCAGGATAAAATATAGCACCTCATCAGCAGAAGCGCCTCTCACTTTAACATCAAAGCGTTCATAATCCATAGTTTCCAGCACAAAGAGCAGCCTGATAAACACCTGCTGCTTTCCTCCATTTAAATCCAGCCGTCTGTCATTCAAAGCTATTCTGTGGTTTGAAAAAAAATTGGCGAATCTCATGAAACCTGCCAAGAACATGTCAGGGTCACATTTTACTCCAAAAACAACAAAGAAATGAACATCCATATTTTGCATAAAGAAAAAATATATATATAAAAAAACAAACAAACAATACAATTAAATGCTGATAGACTAGTCCTGCCCAATCTTATTTCCCATTCTATAAATATTGGCAGATATTATTTATTTTTAGTAACAAATATTGAGATTAGTACATGTTGTTTTTATTCTGCATAATACATTATGGTTGCATTTGTAGTAGTTTAATATTTATAATAAAAATTGTGAATTGCAGTACAGCAGTGAATTGCATGCAGAATCAGCATGAGAAAAATCATAATAATCATGATTAAAACTCAAAAGTAAAAAGTTCAGATCATGGTAACTATAGTTAACCAAAACAAAAATATAAATAAAATAAAATGCTAATATTTTACTTGAAGTAAAATAAAATATAAAAATATTAGTACATTTTGTATTTATTCTGCGTAATACATAATGGTTGTATTTGTTGAAGTTTAATATGTATTATACAAAAAAATAGTGAATTGCAGTACTTCAAATCAGCAAAACTGATTGTTTGAGTGTGAAAACTCACAAGTAAGAAGTCCAGATCATGGCTATTATAGTTAACTAACTAACTAACTAACTAACTAACTAACATAAGTAAATAAA